TATAGATTTCCCAATAGTTAACCCTGGAATCTGTACGTAAACTAATTCAGTGCGAAACCTACAAACAACGTAAATAGTTGAACAAATAACTGTAACTGTTGCATTATACAACTGACTAGATTTACGAATCAGTAGACAATGACATGACTAACAGAGTTGCGGTACATATTCAATGGCATTACAGAATAACATAACAGTGGGAATAATCTCAGTGCTAATGATATCAACCCAGAAGTATCAGCAGTCAAGCTTCCAAAATAGAAATATAATATAATAATAATGTTAATGGATTTCTATGGCGGATGGTATTCAACTCGAAGCTGTTCAACGGCGCATCAAAGTTTAGGAGGGAATTACCCCGGATAACCCAATCTGCATGTGAGGCGCCAGAAGGTTATAGTCACATTACTTATCCCACCGGGTACCCATTTTCTGCTGGATGAACAGAGGAAATTTTGAACAAACTCACTTGCCTTGGGTGAGACCACATGTATCACATGTGTTTCGTTGTGGGCAGGACTGAAGGCCCAGGGTGGATATTCGGGATAAAAATATGATCTTCACACATCCTCTGGACTTGATGTAATGTGAAATCACAGAAGCATGCGCTTGCTTTCTTACATTGGCTTTAAAAGAACTTCCCGAAACTTCCATACTGCTCTGGATAGGCCTATGCTGTTATACAACATTCATGATGACTCTTGACTACAAAGGTATCTAAACATCACTGTCACACCACGGTCCTCTGCTGAATCTGAAACAGAAACGTGCCAGCTTAATATTGGTCGTGTGAGTGAGTGAGTATGGTTTTTCGCCGCTTTTAGCAATATTCCCGCGGGGGACACCAGAAATTGGCTTCACATTTTGTACTCATGTGGAATCGAACCCGGATCTTCAGCGTGACGAGCAAACACTTTAAGCACTAAGCTACCCACGGACCTAATATTGGTCGAAGGCCCCAAGGCACTGATTGAAATCGCGGGTTGCAGGAATGAGTAAATAAGTGAACGAGATTTTATACGGCAGCCACAGGTATGACTATTATGTTCCATTGATGTGAGGCACAGACATAACAGCGACTGATGACTTGAGCATTAAACCACAACATTATATTAGTAAGTGATGAAAATGACGATCATCGTTCGAAATAGTAACTATCCTAAGCAGCATGTGTGGCTCACCCATCCTAATTCGGACTATACAGTAGCTCATCCCTTCAGAGGATGCGGTCCCTCTGGGAGATTAATCTTCAAATGATCAATGCAAGTAGTTATAATTGCTACATTTCATCCAATAAAAAACTCCGTTTCCATGGATCAGTTTCTGTGCTGACTCATCGGAAATCGCTTGAAAGCGAAATTCAATCAAAACAGCAGATGTATGGCATAGATAGCGTACATTTTACTGTTAAATTGATATGTTACATGAAATCGCAACTGTTATATACATATTGATGTCCTGTCCAAACTGGTTTGAGTTTTACTCAGTGTCATGTCGTTTTTCATTATTGGATCATAATTCGATACATTCATCCCGTCTCGAAAATGATTTATTCGACCCCTGAAGATCCGGGTAAGAATTGGTCTTCAGAAACCCATGCCTGTCGTAAAAGGCGACTAACGAGATTGGGTGTTCAGGCTCGCTGGCTTTGTTGACACATGTCATCGTATCTCAATTGCGTGGATGCTCAAGCTGTTGATCAGTGGATTGTCTGGTTCAGACTAGATTATTAACAGACCGCCGTCATATAGCTGGAATATTGCTGAGTGCGGCGTTCAACAACTACAACAAAACATCACTACAGCACTACACAATTGTCAAACATACAAGCAATCATATTTTAGTAACCAACCAAACCAATCAATTATTCGAGTATATCTGTAAGTAGCAGCGCGGTTACATATACCATAAGACCGCCTCCGTGGTGTAGTGGTTAGAGCGTCCGCCCGGAGTGCGGAAGGTCGCGGGTTCGATCCCCGACCGCGTCATACCAAAAGACGTTAAAATATGGTACTTGTTGGTCCCTGCCTGGCACTCGGCATTAATGGGTACAACAAGGACTGGTCGGCTCGGAGTCAGTATAATGTGTCTGAGTGGGGTATTCATGCTTCACTGCGGCATGGTATCTCAGTGGGCTAGCACTATAAAACCAGCTTAAGTTTGGGCTAGTACAAGCAGCCACACATACACATACACACGCATGCACGTCGTCATATGAGCGAAATATTCTCAAGCACAACGTTAAACCCAATTCCACCACCACCACATATACCATAAGGGCTATCCAGCCCGGGCCTGGATAATTCATTAATTCTATTTAGATAATATACAGATAGGACATCCCTGTAATACAAACCCAGCTGTTTGTATGTTACATATGTACACGCAATACGATATTCGATTTTAGAGGTTAGTCAGTCCTAAAACAATGTGTAACACACGCCAACTGTCGCTCTGTAGTGTCGCTATGTACTTGGCTGTATGTCTATCTAACAGCATCTGTATACGCTGTGTGTGGATGTGAATGACAGTCCCATGGTGCCAACAATGCATCAATATTCCCTGGCCAGACAATTCATTAAATATTCATCGGTACTTGCACTAGTGCTCGTATGATGCACTGTTACGAAACATTGGTGATGCATAAAATGTCAATTATCGACGAGTAATACTTTTATATGTGGCGGTGTGTGGTCCTGTGCATAAAGCTAAGGTGAAGTTTAGCAACGTTGGGCGCAGGGGTCGTGTTCGGCAGCTTGTATCTTTAGAGTTTCTAGGATTTCTGTCCTGCCCCACAACGAAACACATGTGATTCTTGTATACTCACTTTAAACAAGTGAGTTGTTCAAAATTGCCTCTGTTCACCAAGCAGAATATGGGTACCCGGTAGGAGAAATCATGTGACTATAACCTTCTAGCGCCTCACAGACAGCTTGGGTTAGCCGGGGTAATAATGAACTGCCTATTTGTATGCGCTTTGAGCATGCACTTGGTGTATGGAATTTAGCGCTATAGAACATTTATGTCATGTTCATTATAGATTTTGGGTATTTAATCTATAACTGACAAATGGAACAAAAATAACATGCACTGATTTTGGTTTAGTCATTGATGATATCACAGTTTTAACGACTGTACAGAATTAGTAATATGTTAGTCACTTCGGGAAAACTTATCTTCCTCGACGGATGGTACGACTGAGTCATAATTAAAGCCATTGCTTGAGCCTTTGGGTGCATATCAATACTAATCGTATACCCAGCATAAGCTGCCTTCGGGGCTTGAAGGTTCGAATTAAACGTTGTTCCTACCGGTTACCCATGCGCTGCTTGTTGCAGAAGCAAATGATGTTTAAATACACAGTGACACAGTGATAAGGTGTTTTTTCCTTCGTGGTTATGGGATATGCTGGTATGTAAGTCATGCGATGATAGTTACGATGAACTGTCGCGATAATTCATGTTTTTGATGAATAGAGCAAGTGGGCAGCTTGTGCGCTGCTGTTCAAAATTCATTACAGATTACAAGCAAGCTGTTACATCGTTGTACAAAAAAAGGTGCCCAGGGATTTTGGTTAAACCCGGACACAGGAGAGCGCTTCAGAAAAAAACAAATGTTGAGCATTGGGAAACACCTGGGATTCGAACAGTCGTGCATTAAGCGAACTGAAACTCCCTGCCCCCTCCCCCCAAATCGCTGGACCGCCCGTTCACACCCCACCCCCACACACGCACGCAAACACACACACGCCCTATATCATATATAGCATACACAGATGTATGCTGTTATTATAAAATGATACACTTCGTAACCTGAGTTTAATATTGGTCTCGATTTATGACGACGCGCTTCAGTGTGTATTCCATTGTTAATACATAAGTAATAAATAATTTTTAGGACTTGCTTTGATGTTAAATCACTCGGAAATGTACTCAGTTTCGCGGGAACGGTGTATATTTCAACACATGGCGCAGTCAATATGTCCGGAATCGATCTGTACCTCGACAAGATCTGAACAATAGGCCACAGTGTTAGGAAGCATCTGCATGTCAACAGCCATTGCGAACCCCCTCGTTATAACGTCACTGTTGTAACTGCACTTTTATGTCATATGGCACCGTTACAGAGGCCTATAAGTGTAATCGGATACACTTCTGTGTAAAGTGGATTTATAAACGATCACATATACGAATAATATGCAACAAATATCATTTTTATCATTTCAGTATTCAACATTAATTCACATTTCCGGTAAGAGATATCGGTAAACCAAGTAGGATAGGTCGTCGTTTCAACAGATGTTAACTGTCAAGAGATTCAGTACACGTCATAAACTACGGTTATATCGAATTGACGGGTATTACGAACTGTTGTTATCCCGACAACCTTCTTAATAATATAGTCAACATGCATATAACGAACTACGGTTATAACGAGCTATAGTCGTCCGTTTGAGTTCGATATAACCGTAGCTTCCTTATATCTAAAGAGACACGATTCAAGCGGAAGTCACGATTTTGTCTTGAGCTACCTCATGGTGACTGTTTCTCCAATTTCTAATAAGATTTCATGAACTGTTTCCGTGTAAACATACAATAAGCGAGATATAAAACTGGTTTACACTGCTGGGATGTACAAGACGTGTCTGAATAAGGTACACAATGGTTGTGATTTATGAACAACACAGAGACACGTGACCCGAAAATCCTTCATGTATATTTCATTGGTTGAAGCGATTGCGGTCTCATCTATTATGATGGGACGTTGTCGATAGCATATCATTTATACTGAATATTCGACTGACTGCACCGCAAGCGCAAACAGGTTGAGGAAATAAGCTTCTCAGCAAATAATATCTGACAATAGCTTACAGGGTATCCAGACATGATCATGATAATTGTTGTAGGCGACGTCGCATGAGGGCCTGACACGGACGTTGTTACCCTATCTTTCCACTTTTGTCGTGTAGCAGGACATTTATTCAGCTTTTCCTTTTTCAGATTCCAAGTAGCTCAACAAAACCACACAGAAAGAACAAAGCACAAGTATGACGGGTACGTATCATACCAATTGTTTTCATATAATTGATTGAGCTGTGTAATATATTTACAGTGTGTGGCAGTATTCATTTGGTATCATACACCTATAATTGACTGGTTACTCATGAGATATATCACTGGTTTGTTTTTTCCCAGACTCGAGTATTTTACTGTCGCCGCTATCTAAATTTGCAAGCCAACGGTCCAGCAGAAAATTGCAGTTACTCGACTCTGATAAATGAAAGGTTTCAAATCGCAGTAACTACCTCTAGCTTCGTCATTGTCGGTAGTCGTGTTTAAGTAGTGTTATGTACACATATCAATTACAAAATGCTGACATGTGGTGATTACACTATTACTTCACCAGTGCTTTTTCTTTCGTTATCTCAGATATGGTTTGTTGTTTAATGCCGTGCTACAGAGACTGTAGGCGGCCGTCATCAAATCGGGACCAGCAAAACTAATGAGTGATACTATGAGCGATTATAAACGTTCGAATACGTTAACACGAAGTCTGAGCCCCACCCGATCTATTTTCCTTCCTCGTACAACATACGTTGTTTTCTGGAGAAATATTCTAATCAAGCTTCCCTTGGGTCTACTAGAAACATTGAGGCTTCCTGTAGTTGGCTCGTCATGCGAAAGTTCCGGCTTCGGTTTCCCCACATTGAGGCAGTCTGTAACATCCTTTAAATACACAATGCCATTTCAGAAAGTGGTCAATTGTAACATATGTTTTATTTGGGATTACACTTTCTCAGTAAAGTACAGATTCTAGTACTTTTGGGGGTTGAGTCCCATCCGGGATTCGAACCCACACCCTCAGAGTCAGGCATCTAATCGCCAGCACACAAAGTAACATCCTTCCCTGCCAATATCAGTGATAACCATAGACATCCTTGTTTGTTGTTTACGCCACACGCAGCAATATCCCAGCTGTATGGCGGCGGTCTATGAATAATCGAGTCTGGACCAGACGATCCAGGGATTGACATCTAATCGCCAGCACACAAAGTAACATCCTTCCCTGCCTATATCAGTGATAACCATAGACATCCGTGTTTGTTGTTTACGCCACACTCAGCAATATTCAAGCTGTATGGCGGCGGTCTATGAATAATCGAGTCTGGACCAGACGATCCACGGGTTGACATCAAAGGCATCGATCTGCGCCATAGGGATACGATGACACGTGGCAAACAAGTCAGCGAGCCTGACTACCTCGTTTGCTGCCTCTTGTACGACAAGCATGGGTTGCTGATCTTTTCAAAGAGTCATCAGTGTAATCATCTGATTGCCAGTCGAGAATATGCGCGTGCCTAAAATGGCTCGTATTCCTGAACACTCAAACGCAATGCGCATTATTTAACCAAATCGAATTTATCGGACACGGATAGATTATACGCAAACACGGAAAGACTGCCACGGACATCATAAATCCATATTCGCTGATTCAACCTTACACAGGCAAAGTGTTTCCAGACACAATCTGGAAAAGTTTTCCGTCTGCAGGTTTTAGGAGGAAGGGATTCGATCTAGCCTGGCTCTAAATATATATTATCCAGGCTAAATCGAATACGTATATACTGTTTATGATGTGCATTGAAATATAATAACGTTAGCCATGCTGTAAACCCTATATCGGTAGACCGCTCAATCTGGGAAATGTCGCACTTGATGGATTACGACATGTAGTTTATGTTGTAGGGCTCCGAGTCATCACTTTAGTTACACAACATAGATTATTTATTAGTTGACACTATCCATATATTTATAAATATACCTTCTTCCTTGTCTGAGTCAGGATCTTGGTCGCGCATATCTACTTGCTTTGATCGTAAATAACCTTCTGTAAAAAGACCCAAAAACATGATGATGAATCTTCGGCTATAGTACTTCCTTGACCCAGAAGGCTAGATCACTGGTTAAAGCGTGTTGAAGCCATGTCGAACACACATCGACTTTAACATGGGTTCAGTTTCAAGAGAAATGTGTAAAACAATACTCTCTCCTGAATTCAGTAACCTTATATAAATTTTACGCAAATTAATCTCTCCAATGAAGTAATGCTTGTTGTGTAGAACGTGATCAGCATAAGGTTACACAAACATCAAAGGTGTACAAAATGAATATTGTATGTGACTTTTCATGAGGTACTGCTTTGGCAGTCATTCATCTTGTGTGACGGTCTTCAGGAGACAAGGAAATATGAGACAAAATGATACCAATACTTTTGGGGGAGGTAGCATATGCTAACATATGGTCGAAGGAGGTTTAATTTTGTAATATCAAGTGATAAATGGTTAATGGTGAGTGAGTTTAGTTTTACGCCGCACTCACCAATAGTCCAGCTATATGGCGGCGCTCTGTAAATAATCGAGTCTGGACTAGAAAATCCAGTGATCAACATCATGAGCATCGATCTACGCAATTGGGATACGATGGCATGTGTCAACCAAGTTAATGAGCCTGACCACCCGATCCGGTTAGTCGCCTCTTACGACAAGCATGGGTTACTGAAGATCAATTCTAACCCGGATCTTCACGGGTGATAAATGACTAATAACCTGCACCACAAATTTCATCTTATTTTCACTTGGCTTTTCCTCCTGGGAATATTTAAATGTTTCCTGTTTGCTAAACTCATTATGTGAATAATTTCCTTATTACTCAACGAGAAACTGAATGAATACGGTCAACGATTTCAGAGCCATTTCACTGTTGCGGTTCACCTGTTTAGTTTTTATAACTGTTAGTTTTTAATCATTTGGGCTGTTTATGCCCTGTCGTTTAGTGTTTTAGAGTTGCGTCCCTTTGTTGCGCCAGAATCATGAGTTTGAGTTCGCATCCCACATTATCCCTAATTGGGTTCTTGCTTCATTAGCTTAAACTCATGATCCAGGATGTAAGTCAACTCATGTCTAACACCTGCAATAATTCGGGATTTACTGTTACATGAAGGTGAAATGTTGTGTTATTCTAATTTAAATATTGTTAAAAAATTAATCCTGTGTCACTCACTCCCTATCTGTTCTGTTGTTGCAGGACTGATCAAACAGAAGCAGTATGACTGGAAGGATTCCAATCTTGCCCTGTTCGGCTCGGATCTGGAACGCCAAGTCAAAAGTAAGTACAGTGAAACCTGTCTAAACCGGCACCCCACGGGACCGAAATAAAATGCCTGTTTAGACAGGATGCCGGATTAGACATGACAATCATTTTCCGTTGTAAAATGGCGGGATCAAAATATTATGCCGGTTTTTACAGTGTGCCGGATTAAACAGGTGCCGGTGTTGGCAGGTTTCACTGTAATATACTTAAGAATCCAGACACTCTGATTCCATTCATCCTCTAGCCTTCCTTATGTCCACCCCCTCTCCCCCATGCACCTAATTATTGTCCCTTTGTGTGGAGATGTAATTGAATTTGTCTTTCATGGCTGTTACTTTATCAACATTCCTATCAAAGCTATTGGTTTGTATTTCACCGTTATTCTAACCCTTAGCAGATCCACTCGGTCCTGCATTCCGAGATGTCTACATGATGCACAGCATGTTGCATGTGATAAATTAATCCTCTCAGGTTGAGTGCTCAATAAAGTAATAAATTTCACTGCGCATAAAACTGCGATTCTATAAATACCTCCGTTGTGTTGTCGACAACCTAAACAAGAATATAAGAACATGTCCCGTTGATTTTTGGACGTTTTCTGGTGGTCAATCATTTGATTGTCTGGAAAACACGGGGTTTCATGAGTGTCTTTAAAAAGAACCACACAGTAATGTGTTCCCCACGCATGGAAAATACTTACGTCTAAAAATAGATGTGCTGGATAATTAGAAAAAAAAGTATGTCGCGGGTAAAAGTATTATTATTTGGCATAGACAATAATTGTGTATTTTGAAACGATGACATAAATGTGATCTGTTTCCAAGCCATTATTCCAGCTCCCCAAACTAATAAATACTTGGTCTCATATTATCAGTCTACGCTTAGGCATATATACTGATCATATTTTATCAGCAAGACTGTAGAGGTGAGGTGAAATTGGGTTTAATGTCGTGCTTGAGAATATTTCGCTCATATGACGACGTGCATGCGTGTGTATGTGTATGTGCGGCTGCTTGTACTAGCCCAGACTTAAGCTGGTTTTATAGTGCTAGCCCACTGAGATAGCATACCGCAGTGAAGCATGAATACCCCACTCAGACACATTATACTGACTCCGAGCCGACCAGTCCTTGGTGTACCCACTAATGCCTAGCGCCAGGCAGGGACCAACAAGTACCTTATTTTAACGTCTTTTGGTATGATGCGGTCGGGGATCGAACTCGCGACATTCCGCCCTCGGGGCGGACGCTGTAACCACTACACCACGGAGGCGGTCCCGCAAGACTGTAGAAGTGCTTGAAGGTTGAAATAGTATAATTGTCTCGAGTAGCAAACCATGAACTAATATGTAGACATACGTTTCATTATCCAGATAAGTGCCATAATTTTGGCTGATTTCTATGTATGTTAATTATTGAACCCCCTCATGATGAACATAAGTCTGATACAACACAACACAAACAATTCAGTAGTCACTTTTATACAGTAAACTACTTGCATATTGTTCGTTAATTAACTTAATTAATATCATTTTGTCTCTGTAGAGGAGTCCGCCCAAGGAGAAAAAGCATGGGCAAAAGCGGGACAGAAAGTCGGCGTCCAGATTTGGAGAATTGTGGTAGGTACATCCCACCAAACCATAAAACGAAACCTTTATTCCTTGTCTAATGTACGACTTTAAAATAACCATGACATGTATAACACTATCATTCAAATATCACATGTTTACAGTCATTGTATGTAATGGGCCGAAGGCCTCCTTTGACTAAGACAAACGTCTGGACTTAAAAACTGCATCGCCCACACATACCTATAAGTATGTAAGTAAATGAGTATGGTTTTACGCCGCTTCTAGCAATATCCCAGCAATATCACGGCGGGGGACACCAGGAATGGGTTTCACACATTGTACCCATATGGGGAATCGAACCAGGACACATACAAGGAACAAGAACTGATGTTTGTTAGTGTATTTGTGATTACCGTAATAGAAAAAATGATTTCTTATCTTTTTCAGAAATTTCAAGTGACAGACTGGCCTAAAGAAGATTATGGCAAATTCTACAATGGCGATTCTTATATTGTCCTAAACGTACGATTTCCAATCCTTAATGTCTCCTCGGTATAAGTTATGTTGTCCTGAAGTGTGTTCACATTTCTTTATGGCAGTCACATTGACAAAGAGTGTGTAATATTGCCGTAAGCGTTCTACTTGTTCACCTTATCGGAAGTAAAATTTCGTTGCTGAACTAACATTGAAACAGACGTAGTTTTATTAAAGGGAGACAATCTGCGGTAAAATCCTTCAACTTCCATAGAAGTTGTTAAATGTTTGCGAAACGTGTCTCCCTTTTTGTACATTGCAAAACACGAGAATGATATACTTCGTGTAATGGATTCATTTGAACATGCTTTCAGTAATTGCAAACGAATAATTAAAAGTTTTTTAGTAAGATTTCAACCAATAATTTTATAATAAGTTAAATGGACAGGATTCATTTTCAAGTCAGGGTTTGGTTATAATAAGTATTTCCAGCTTATATTTACATTTACCAGACCTATACAGAAGACGGGGCAGACCAGCTTCTATTTGACGTCCACTTCTGGATCGGAAAGTACAGCACGCAGGTGAGTCGCCCGACCAACTTTATATTTACCGGACACATACTGACTGCTGATCACTGGATTGCCTGGTCCAGACTCGATTATTTACAGACCGCCGCCATATAGCTGGAATATTGTTCAGCGTGGCGTTAAACAACAAACCAACCAACCAACATACTGACTGCTTGCATAAGATCCGGGTTAGAACTGATCTTCAGCAACCCATGCTTGTCGTATGAAGTGACTAACGGGATCGGGTGGTCAGGCTCGCTGACTTTGTTGATGCATGTCATCGTATCCCACGTAGATCGATGCTCATTCTGTTTTTCACTGGATTGTGTGGTTCAGACTCAATTATTTACAGACTGCCGTCATACAGCTACAATGTTGCTGGGTGGAGCGTTACCGCCTTCGTGGTGTAGTGGTTAGAGCGTCCGCCCGGTTAGAGCAGCCGCACTTACACATACACACTCATGCACGCCGTGATATGAGCGAAATATTCTCAAGCACGACGTTAAACCCAATTTCACCTCACCCCACCTGGGGGGAGCGTTTACAACAATCAAACAAAAACAATGGCATGAGTGTAACATTAAACCATGTCATCATGTATTATTTATTGTTTTTACCTTCCGCGTTTCCTGGGACGACAGTGCCATTAATATAACTGTTACAGTACATTGTATTCTAGAAATATATTATAAATATATTAGTCCCTCCAAATAAAACAATACAAATCCATCCCCTACCGTTGGAATCAGTTGCTTTGACTGAAAGAGTTTTCAGAACCCAAGTTCAGACATGAACTACAAAATATATTTTGGGGTTATTATGACTGAGTGAGTGAGTGAGTTAATATTTAACGTCACATCGGCAATATTTCAGCCATATCGTGACGAGAACATTTGACATTTAAATAGAATATATATACAGATATTATAAAAACCTGCCGATGAAGGACAGTTATTATGACTGAGAACAGAATTGTGTAGGCATAACTGTATTCACCCTTGGGCCTATTTGAAAATTCTATTGCAGTTGTCATTAATATTTGTTGCACTAATTTTAGGATGAGTACGGTACCGCCGCCTACAAAACAGTGGAGCTGGACACCTTCCTTGACGATGTTCCCGTCCAGCACAGAGAAGTCCAGGGCCATGAGTCGGCGTTGTTCAAAAGCTATTTCAAGGCCATCACGTGAGTCTGCTCTTTTGCCTTCTCTGATTGAACGATTGAACTCGCCAAAGCAGATTAATGTCAACTGATAGTGGTATTGATGAAACAAAAAAACATCAATGAAAGAATATGCACAAATTATTTGTTTTCAGAATCCTGGAAGGGGGCGCTGATAGCGGCTTTAGAACCGTCAAACCTGAAGCATACAAACCAAGACTCTTCCATTTTCATGGAGACAGGAAGCACGTAGAGGTTAAGCAGGTAGGGGCTGTATTTCTTTATTGATACAAAGTAAACTACAACTTCTTAAACAAAACACGTAGTAAATTTGTACAAAAGTCAAGTTCCTTCAACTAAGTTGATTGCCTCTATAAATGCTGAAGTTCATAAGGGACGATTTGTTCCGTTATTATTAAAAAAAAATCATTTTCTTGTTTTGTTGTTTTACGCACCACTCAGCAATATTCCAGCTATATGGCGATGGGCTGTAAATAATCGAGTCTTAATCCAGTGATCAGCACGATGAGCATCATTCTACGCAACTGGGATACAATTACATGTGTCAACTAAGTCAGCGAGTGTGACCAGCCGATCCCGTTAGTCTCGGGACAATTGGAGTTGTTGATAAATTCACATGCCATAGAGTAATGGGCAATGAGTAAATGATCTCTGTTGACCTGCAGATTCCCCGGTGCAGAAGTCGCCTGGACTCTACTGACGTGTACATACTGGACCTTGGGCTGACCATCTACCAGTGGAACGGCAATGGAGCCAACGTCACTGAGAAGACAAAGGTATGTCGACCTAGGCTGGTGCAAGGAACCTTGTCTGACCAAAGAAAGGAGCTGTTCGGAGAATATTAAATGGTTGTCAGTTCAATAATATATTTAATAATACATTACCTTTTTTATATGAGCTAAGTAAATTGCTTTTTATGGTTTGCTATGGGAGGGGAAGGGATTTCTTACAGAGCAACGCTGAATGACTGAAAGAAGAGCTTTTAGTAGGACGATGTACTTTGAGCATTGTCATCTTCGTTGTTGTAGGCCATGCAGTATGTGCAGACCTTAGCGGAAGAGAGGTCAGGGAAGGCCATCAATAAGGAGGTGCTGGATGAACACAGTATGGACCAGACGGTAAGCGTCAATAGTTTAATTGGGTCCGATTTGAATTACGATCGTTTCGTCACCATAGTCCCCACGGTGAAGGGTTTCAATAGCAAATAATTCCCACGCACACATCTAAGGAAACTAAAAACTAAAATATAAAAGGCCGAAGCTGAGTACCTTATAACATTTCTAAATGGACCTTAATGATGGTCGAAAGTATCATGGTACGCCATCGTGCAATCCGACGTCGTAGGCCGTTGCCTAAGCTCTCTACAAAGAATTAGTAGAACCCCGTTGTGAACACAACGACGTCAACTATTGCCGTCCACAGCGGATTGGTAGAACCCGATTGAGAACAGAACGGCGTGAAACTATAGGCGATTAGTACAGCTCAGTTGTGACAAGGACGGCTTTAGCTGAAGCTGTGCTAGTGGTAACTGAAACATGAAACAACATTCAACATGTGTGTGTGTGTGTGTGTGTGTGTGTGTGTGTGTGTGTGTGTGTGTGTGTGTGTGTGTGTGTGTGTGTGTGTGTGTGTGTGTGTGTGTGTGTGTGTGTGTGTGTGTGTGTGTGTGTGTGTGTGTGTGTGTGTGTGTGTGTGTGTGTGTGTGTGTGTGTGTGAGTCTGATTTGGCCGAAGGAAAAAAACTTCGACCTTTACGGTTTCATTCTGTTCCTTTCGTTTTAAAGCGTCATCACTATATTCACTTAACATTTGTCCAACATCTAGTAACTATTTTAACTATATTTGACCTTCACAGCCATGGAAAATTAGGGTAAGTGTTGGTCAAGGTTACGGAACTGAAGAAGGCTGTACACCTATCATGCTTTTGTTTGTTTTGAGCTAGCTGTTAATTTATAATGTATTTTTGATTTTGTGGGTGTTTTCAGCTCATCTAGCCAATTGTACCAGACTTCCGTCCCTACGGTTGAACTTTTCATATCTAATTGGGTATCCGAATAAGGAACTTGAATTTGACATTTCGATGATACTGCGGTATTTTCTGACGTATTTCTGTAATGGGCACTACCCAATCCCCAACACAATTATAAAGTGGCCTCCTTTGAGCCTGATGTAGATATATACATTTATGTTTGTTATTTATAATGATAGTAGTAATATAATAATTGTAACTAATTGCCTATGTAGCTATGAGTAATTTCATAAAGAATTTCGAATTTGGTTGTATTTTTTTAACGTGATACAAATCAATGCCATCATGCGGAAACCACCATATGCAGTATCGATCACGATAGGATTTCTCAACTGATTTTCATCAATGTTCATTTGATTTTGGCCAGATGAGCTGCATATAGTTTTCATTATATATTATTTCCGTTTTCTTGTGGGAAAGAGTAATGTATACTTTTATCCTCTTTTTTTAAAACATTATTCTTATATCTGCAATTGAGATAATTAGCAAGAAGAAAATGTATAAATATACGATATCTGAGTACATGTGCCTCAAATTGGTTTTAGTCTGTTTAAATTAATTCAGCCTCATGAAGTTGCATTGTCTACATAGTAGCGCTGTACTGTTTATCGTGGCCTCCACGATGTACTAACCACCAGGACAATGCTTATTCATAGTCAATATATACTTTACTGAGTTTGTATACATTTTGTTCCTCCATCATCAGGGAACACACTATGCGGTTTAGTAGTACTGATGCGTGTAGATCTTCCTTAAGCCATTGAACTAGAGCTTGTGAATAGCTTGTAGACATCAAATGAGCTCAACTTTGTGCCAACCCTTCCACAACCGTTTTTGAAACCCCAGGACCATGACATGAAGGACACGTTGTCAAATGATTTGTTTGCTTGTTGTTTAACGCCACACACATTCCAGTTACATAACGGCGGTCTGGACCAAGCAGTCCAGTGACAGACTTCATGTGCACTGATCTAAGCAATTGGGATACGATGACATGTGTCAAATACGTCAAGAACCTGACCACCCGATCTCGTTAGTAATTTCTTACAAGCATGGGTTGCTAAAGACCAATTCTAACCCGGATCTTAATGATCCGTTGTCAAATGAGGTGCTGTTTGTTCGATGAAAGTTGGTTGTTCATTTGTCTAAGCACCCTCTAACATTTTACTCTCCGGTCGAATTCAAATATTGTGATGGAGGAACCTTCGGTTTACAGACCCATGAGGTATTGGCGATGACGCTGGCTGTAAATGCCGATTTAAGCATGTAACGGTTGTGTTCTTCAGGGAAGGACACAAATATGACACCGCGATGGAGTTATCGATCATGCAATCATGCTCAGACATGATTTGAAGCGTACCATAAAAACAGAGCCAGCTTCCACTGTATAATACAGTTGTGTTCTCCAAGCTCCCTGATCTACGTGAAATGTATTAAAACTGTTCACTCAGGCTGTCAGATCTGCGATACCGATGCAAAGTGCTGTCTCCCACAACTCACTTACCGTTTAGGGTCCCGTTCCTCAAAGCGGTCGTAGCTCTAAAGTGATCGTAACTCCCATACTTTAACATACACTTACGACAGTCGCAGCGTTAGGATGGCTTTGTTGAACAGGGTCCAGGCGAGTCATGCGCGCCGCAGCTGGAAACGGATGTTTGTGTGTGACATATTCCTATTAAATGATTTGCTTGTTTACACAATTAATAACAAATAGCATATTTTCCTCAATGATAATAAAACTCAAAACCAGAGAAGGATTCACGATTCCGAGTATGTCATGCACGGGCATGTGTTTTAGGAATCATTATCTAATTGTGGGTAAAAAATATGGTACCGTAATAGTGTTCGCTCTGCACCAACGGTGCGATACATGCAACGCCAAGTCAATTGACATTTTGATACTTACACAATCACGGTTTTTGCAGCACGAGTTTTATGGTCTTCTGAACGAAGATGATGAAGAAGACACAGACTCACAGTACGAGGCTGGCGACTGCACCACGGAGCTGTACAGGTCTGTATATCACACACACTATCTATCGTTAGTAAGCGCCATCTTTGATTTTTACTGTCAATAGACGGGCTTATATGGACTTATATGACACAGTCTACCGATATCTATTGTGCCACTAAGTAAGACTAACCAATCAGAAACTAGAACTACCGACCCCGTATGACTACACATGCCTTCAATAAAACGTAAAACATACGACCGTATACCGTCAGTAACAGCCATCTTGGATTTTGACTGAAGGTATATATACTCATTCGAACTGTATATGTGCACGTCTGTAGATGACCCAGTCTGTCTGTATGAATACCCTCTGCTATACATGAACACACCAGTTTTCCTTGACTTTGTTTTGTGAGGTTAAAATATGCCTCTACGCGAAATTTTGAAACAGATCCTGTACTGTGCTGTATGTACGTCCTGTACATAGGCCTATGGCTTATTATTTTTTCATTTATGTATACTACGTGAAGTGATTAGTTTTCTTTGACTTTGTGTCAAAATCTGTTTTGTGAGATTAAAATATGCCTCTAAGTGTACAGATGTACTGAAATGAGATGTGAATCTATTTTAAATAAGATCCTGCACTGCACTGTACCCACGTCGTGTATATAGGCCTATAGCCTTTCATACAACAAACATTTTATTTATGTATACTATATGCATTGAATAACGACAGCATAATCCATGTTAACGTTCCAACCATATAGGCGAGAAACTCTTGTACTCTTGCTATGGGTTTGTAAAGTCAACCCAATGTCGACATAAAATCCAACCATGATACAGACATTGAACGATGGCTATTAACTATTTACTATTTGAACTGTCACCTCTAGGTTGTCCGACGCCACTGGCTCAATGTCCTTCACCAAGGAAAAATCTGGAAACGTTTCACAAGGCGACTTTGACAGCAAAGTAAGTTCTCCAGAATCGGGTAGGTTTTTAAAAAAAAGAAAACGGAATCAGTTATATAATGCATGCGGATGATAGGGCTGAGAAGAGAAATTAGAAGGAGTGAGTCAGGAGGGACATCCCGTTGGCTATAACCATGATTAAAAATAAGGTTTTACCCCGGGGTCCAAGATGTTTTACTTAAATATGATTGCTTGTACGTGTGGCAATTGTGTCGTGCTATAGTGATGTTTTTGTTGTAGATGTTGTTGTTTAACGCCGCACTCAGCAATATTCCAGCTATATGGCGGCGGTCTGTAAATAATACAGTCTGAACCAGACAATGCAGTGATCAACATCATGAGCATTGATCTACGCTATTGGGGTACGATGACATGGGTCAACCAAGTCAAAGGGCATGACCATCCGACCCTGCTAGTCGCTTCTTACGACAAGCATGGGTTACTAAAGATCAAATCTAACACGGACCATCACAGGTCAGCCGCGTGGATATTGTTTCAGACACATTATACTGCGAGCCGAGGAGTCCTTGTTTAATACTCTTTAACTTAGGCAGGCAGGGTAACATCAAGCATAACATATGTTATATTTGGGATTACACTTTCTTAGTAAAGTACAAATACTAGTACTTTGTGAGTAGAGCCCCATCCGGGATTCGAACTCACACCCTCAGAGTACCAAATCGCCAGCACACAAAGTAAGCCGCCTAACCGGCTCAGCTACCGCGACTTCCACAAAAATGGAAGTCGGACAACTGGTAGTCTAGACTGCGGACTTTGTGTACCCCTCTGATGAGTGTTAATTGGCACGGCTCCCACGGCCGAAAGCTATGATTACACAATGCCATTTAGAAAGTGCTGAGGGTGTGAGTTCGAATCCCGGATTGGTCTCTACTCAAAAGGTAATAGAATTTGTACTTTACTAAGAAGGTGTAATCCCAAATATAACATATGTTACATTCACCACTTTCTAAATGGCATTGTGTAATCGTAACATCAAGCACCATTATTTGATGTATTTTGGTACGAGGCGACAATGGCATCGAACCACGGAATGACCCCTCTCCGACACAAGCTGTAAGTTAGTTTTGATGCAGTGGTTTGTTTGTACAGGTGTCATTTCATTGTAAATTCATCGCATTTCAGGATGTGTTTATTCTGGACACGAAGGCAGAACTGTTTGTGTGGATTGGGAGAAACACTACAACAGCGGAGAAGAAGAACGCCATGACATATGCTCACGTAGGTTTAAACTAAAAGCATTCCAATCTTTTTATTTCATAAGATGTGTATGACACAGATGCACTCGCATACGTACTCGCTCACAGACATAGACACATACACGTATGGATGTATTTATGTGTGTTATGTATGTGTATATATGCATGTTTGCATGCATGTGCATAGAATCATACATAGATTCATATAGAAATTATTATATCATTCAGATATGCTTATTAGTTATGTTTCAATAATTTGCTAAAATGCTAATATTCAGTGCTAAGGGTGTCAGTATGATAGGTCAACTTTAGCCAAGTTGATAGTGTTACTTCACCTGGTTTGACGCCCGTGATGCAGTATACTTGTGTGTATATTTATCGTGTGGCCCAATAACAGACTTCTTGTGCTGAAACTGCAGCATCAGTTCTGGGTTTCGAATCTACGACCAAAGTTTCGTAACCTACGTCAGAGACGTAGCTCACAGTCGATTGTGGGGCATTGACCTCTTTTGCATGTCAATATAGTGTTGAATTTACACATTTCGAGATTAAGGCGAATAAACCAATAACGAATATCATCTCTTGACATGTTGTACTTCACATTCGTATGTAAAGGTAAGTATGTATGATATTGTGTCATTCCTCTGTAGAGTGATGTGCGGATAGGGAACTGATTATGACCAGTTGAAACATCACAATTATAATCATCATCATCATCATCTTCCAGACGTACCTGATGCGCAGCGACCACCCCCTCATCCCCGTCAGCTGTTTCAAGGAGGACAAACCGACCAAAGGCTTCAGATCGGCCATTGCTGCATAAGCCAGAGTGTATATTACATCTTACTTCAAATGTTTATTTCATCTTGTCAATCGAACAGTGATATATAAACCATTTCATCTATGGATACACAATGTCATATCGAAAGCGGTCAAATGTAACACATGTTAGATTAAGGATTCCACTTTCTCAGTAAAGTACAGATTCTAGTATTTTCTTGGGTTGAGTCCCATCCGAAATTCGAACCCACACCCTCAGAGTCAGGCACCTAATCGCCAGCACACAGGGTCAGCCGCCTAACCCACTCAGAAACCACGGCTTCACAAATATAACGTGTTACAATTCATCTATGTGCATGAATAGAATAGCAGACAGTATACCTGTGTAATAGACGATATCAAACAACAAGAAATCAAATTGTCATTATTCACGAAGTCATTTCCATACTGATTCCTGTGGAGATTGAACTCACATACTGCAAATTTCACGTATAAACCTTGCATCACTTACTGCAATTGTTTGGATGATTTCTTCTGGAATAGCGGATTGGATTGCAATTTTATTTTGTGTACGTCCACAAATTCCCCTATACGTCTCCTCGGTCGTGCTTTCTACTCTATATTGTACGTATTGCAAATAGTCACGAATTTTTCGAAAGTTCTCTTGTAAATCAAATTCATGTAAAATGATGGACCAAAGTGAACATGATTGCAATGTGTTGTTTCGTTTCCGACATAATTAGATGGACCTCTAATGTTCGTCGTTGTTAAGTTTTAAACCTTTGGTAGTTTAATAGATAATTTTTATTGTTCATCTTTCATTTTTTCATACATGCATACAGCATCAACATTTTATCATTTTCTATAAGTTGTGTAAAGTTGTTAAAACTGTTTGTGATTAGTACTAAAAGTGTTTGTAGAAATAGTTTTGAATGCGAATTGTTATGATAGCTATCATAGTCGATTGCCTTTCAAATACATACACCACAATTCTCAATGTATTCATACCGAATTGATGTACATGTATATATCAGTTTGTGTACTACTTGAGGAACGTTAATATGGCGCAGCATCACATCATGAAATAGGCAATAGTAAGAACGATTGATAGGTATATTTCCGAAGATGTCAAACGATATACCCATGTACACTATTACAAATTGCGAGTATACCCGTGGTTATTTTGTGGATACTGTCTCCGATAAGATTTTATTAACGGTTTTATTAAACGTCTATTTCAAGTAACAGATCTGACAGTTTAGTCATATCATATCGGATCCATACACAATATACTGAATAATACAAAATCTAATATTTAATATGGATGTAACTTCACAATGTAGCTTCGAGCATCAGACGCATCATTTGCTTCCCATCAACACAGATTCATTCCAACTGTAGTCTTCCCTTTACATGTAATCAGGATTGAACAGTCTGCAAAACACTGGGTTTATTTTCAATATTTTCTTGTACCCCTTCTTAAAACACAAGGTTTGGCCAATTACAAAAGGTGAAAATGCATGTTTTACATGTATTTATGTAAGTAACTTAAGTTCTTTTGGAATCATCCGTTCCTGAGCAAATTAACGTTTTGAAATTAAAAGTGTTTAGTTTACCAACGCTATGTGGTGTACTATGTGATACTACTTTTATGAATAATTTTGTGGTTGGTTAAAAGCTAAAAGTCAAAAAGTTAGAAGCTGCAAAATCGATAATGTTGTTATAAAAACCGGGCTTATCCTTTTTTGACAAATTATTAAGTTTTAATGGTCTTGTGTCAAAATGTTGATACATTATATTGATTTGCCACGATTTATCTCCGGTTAAATCGATTACAAGAAGACCCAATATGCACATCAGAATGAACGTGTAATGACACTGGTTTAACGAGAGAGATAAACCGTAACCATGGCTGCCATATGTATTATCGAAACAGCAAATGACTCACATCTGCCTGTGTTTTATCTTCTCGTCTCCAAATTGATAAAACACGTAATACCATCAAAGACAGTCACAATTTCATTGTTTGCTACAAACAAAGACGTACATGCCACTATTCTATTAAGAAGTATTCCTTATGGCGATACATTTAAGTTAATCCAGTGGTGAAAACATTACATATTTTTCTTTTAACTCCCTGGCTTATTAGTACCCTGTCATCTGTTGAGACATCGGTTGGTATGTTTTCTCCTCATCCATACAAACTGTAAGTCTCAAAAGACTAGACAACTTGTCGATTGATTAATACACCTAAGTTTTTAATTCACATATACTATAATTATGTATTATATGTTTCGTTCAGTTCAGTTATCTCAAAGATGTGTATGTAAAAAATAACCTTTAATCAGAATTTGGAAAATAAAGCGTCGAAGTCAAGTGCACCTTTTTGTGTGTTTTGAGGATATAACCATGAAAGGTGAGTCAGTGAAGTTTACGTCGCTTTTAGAAATATTCCAGCAATATCACGGCGGCGGACACCAAGAATGGGCTTCACACGTTGTACCCATGTGGGGTATCGAACCCGGGTCTTCGGCATGACGATCGAACGCTTTAACCACGAGGCTACCTCACCCTGAAAGGATTGGTTCGGCAAGTGTAACAACAGGGCTCTGACTGATTGTCATTCTGATTGTTACCCTGATCGTAATACTGATTGTCGCACTGATCGTAATACTGATTGTCGCACTGATCGTAACTTTACTTAAGCCTTGAAAGATGTAAACCTGAGTAAAAACCGTTTGTACAAGAGTCGTAAGCGCTTTTGGAAGCCATTGCTAGTAAGCGCTTTTGGAAGCCATTGCTAGTAAGCGCTTTTGGAAGCCATTGTTCGTTGATCGTGCTTGATTGCACAGAATTGACACCAAAGGCTTGAATAGCTGACTGTCGGAAAATATAAGTAATCTGGCCTGTCATACAGTTGTGTGGATACTTTATTGTCACTCCCACTCTATATTTGTACATCGATCTACTTACTCTTATGTACTCAAATCACTTATCCAACTGAATCTCTCAATGGATGTGGTATGTGAAATGCTATAAAAATATATGTAACATTATGAATGAATGGATGGATGGATGGATGGATGGATGTAAACATATGTCGTGACGTAGCACGACCGCCAACTCGAACATAACACTGACAAAACTGTTGGATCAGAAGAAATGAGAAACGAGTATGTTCACCTGGGGGCAACGCATGGACTGGGGAACATGTTAGAACACCCTAACCGAAAGTCGTCCTCATTAGTCAACGAGTACTTGTCCAAGTTCTTGGAAGGTCTGACGTTCATGTATCTGTGTCGCACTAATCTTCCCAGCTCATAAGAACTTGGTTCTATCGGGTTCCTCCAGGGGACGGGCAACAGTCGATGACATCAACGCCGGGGTTACGTCAAACGCTTCACGTGAGAACTGCAGTATGGAGAGTAGTGTTGTCATGTTGAAATGTCTGGAATAATGCCGATGTGACGTAAACCCCAACTAATTTTAACTCAGTCCAGGACCATTTAGTTGACTGGCAGAAAGACTGGGGTCCTGATAAGATTCCTCTGGACGCCAATCAATAGAGATCGACCGTTGGCACAAATGATCCAAAATCATTCCACTGGCCCATCCAAATCAGTCAACCTCGGCGCTGCTTCGGGTTGAATCTGACATGTCTGTGGATCCACCGTATACGTTGAACACGTGAACGTTGAGCTCGGTACGCAGTCGATTCACGATGGTCTGTGTTGACATTCTACTTCTGAACAACTGTCTGCTGGTGGAAGTTGCAGTCTCAAAACTGTTGCGGAGTGAGTGAGTGAGTTTAGTTTTACGCCGCACTCAACAATATTCGAGCCATATATAAATAATCGAGTCTGGACCAGGCAATCCAGTGATCAACAGCATGAGCATCGATCGACGCAATTTGGAACCGATGACATGTGTTTACCAAGTCAGCGAGCCTGACCACCCGATCCCGTTAGTCGCCTCTTACGACAAGCATGGGTTACTAAAGATCAATATTCTAGCCCGGACCTTCATGACATGACCTGATTTCTACGGGTCACCCCGGTGTTTGTGTGTGCGCGTGCGTGTGTGTGTGTGTGTGCGTGTGTGTGTGCGTGTGTGTGCGTGTGTGTGTGTGTGTGTGTGTGTGTGTGTGTGTGTGTGTGTGTGTGTTGTCTTAAACGGAGCCTGTCTGCAGCACACGGTAATTGTCTGACGAATGGCAGCACACGGCTTGTGCAACTGATGCAACAGATTGACAGATTCACTCCCATTGGTTAGTCTAACTTTAATAGTTACTTGCCGGTTTTAATTCTCTAACTGTGATAATCTTGTTAGTTTACTGTCCTTTGTCGACAGTTATTTTCTCCAAGTTTATTATTATTATTAAAACGTCTTCCCTGATTTCTGAGATATCTGTTATTTGCTTTATGGGCCATTCCTATTTCATACTGAGGTAACAGGCAGGGGATTAGCTGTGCACTCAGACAGATGGTTTGCTGTTTTAACCTGTCTGCCTATTGGGATGTCTGACAAGTGGGAGGATACCGAGTGTCCAGGACTAGGTCTATCGATGGCAACTCACGTTGCTGATTTCTGAGTCAGGGCACTTGAAATTTGATCGTGTTTTTGATACTGTTTAGCAAAGCCTGTGTGTTTGCATTAATATGCCAGCTGCTCGTGGCTGTTGTGTTTCACGCTTCCTGACCAAACTCTTCACGTTGGTCACCAAGATTATGTTGTAACAGCCCTAAATAAGTCATTGCCATGAAAAGGAATCACCCCTCACAAGTATTTCCAATGAAGTGAGTCTCAAGTCTCTAGGTCTGGTGCCTCAATCTGCTCAAGGGAAATAGTTATTTTACCATCACTGTCCCCCGATATTTCAAAACACACTAAACATTTTTTAAACATAATAAACAAATTTGAGATAGGTTACTTAGGTTGTTTTGTTGATTCTTTTTCATTTTGTTTTGGGGAGGTGGACAGGCTGGTTTTGGTCTGGGTGAGACACTCGACAGTTTCAAATCAATTGAACACTCAGTTTAAAATCTGACTAAAACATTAAGATTGCTTCGAGAAATTGGAGTCTGAACAATATCAAATTAGCCAAATACCTCAAACTTGTTTGCCAGTTCCCCTTGTTTGGATCTTGCCAATCTCAACAAATCGTTTGACTCCTATACTTAAATATACAGATTAGCAAGAAGGGGAGCGCAATTGTGTTGCATTCTTTCCTAAAACTCAGATCCACAAGTTACCTCATTTTGCATGCAATGTTTAATAGCATTTCCCTTTCAATAATCATATTTTAACAACATTTGAATTAGTATAGGCAACGAATGGGATTCTCCAAGGAAGCGCTGCTTAGTCGAACCCACCAGATCGTCCAGGAGAATATGGAAACTCCCCAACGCTGCAGCCTGCTGCATTACCCAGAGTTTCGGAACGGCTAGAGAACCAGGTCACTCTCCTGATCTGCGTCAAGCGACCAGGAGATACTAAACAAAGGACAACAGTGTTCTTGCAATGCAAGCGAGATATTTCAAAGGCGAGGTCCATGTTTTTTCCTGGTACTTAAACGAATTTATCTCTATTTGAAATAATATTCATTTACAAGTACAGTCCCATCTTAACGTCATCATTCACCCCTTAATGACTCGCCATTAATGATATGATCGCAGTTTTCAATATCGAACTCAATACTAAATCATTTTCTGGATGTGCGATGTTTTATTCAGTGTGCTTAAAACATGATGCCATGATTTTTTGGGTGAAAATTATATTATTGAGTACGAAAAGGTACTTGAAACTGAACAATACGATGGAAAAAGTCTGAGAGGAAAACTAATTGTTATCATATCATGTTCAGTAAAAACAAATTATATTTAATAATTAATCAGTTGGAGCTGATTATTTTCTTTGATGGAATCTGAACTCAATGTCTTAAGAAACGATGTGCTTGCAATAAGTACATGTTGGCATTTGAGGACCCATGTTGATATATATTCTTTGCAGCCTAGCAAAAGAAACGGATCACATTACCCTTTACGACAAGCATCAGTGGCTGAAGATCAACCCGGATATTAGCAGATCTCTCATTTAGGGAATGCTCGTACTTAGAGTTATGTACATTTTATTGAAATTTCAAGGAAAGATATATTGTGCTGAAACGTGCCTCTTCAGTCAAGGTTTCGTCGTCTTTCAGATTTACCGGTCTCTGTTTATGTCACAGTAGACATTCTGGGGAATTTGTTTAAAATTGCAAGCTGTTTGTCAGTACAATGCGCAGTTCTATCCTATACTACAACCATCCCTTTCAATGGGCACTTATGCCGAAATGAATGTTCTTGAAGTGACAAGTAAAGAACAATATGGCAAACTTATGACGTCATCACTGACATTTAGTGATCCTTTCATACATTTTTTACTTTGTTTTTGTTTGTTTTTTGTTTTTTATACTTCTGGTATCTGTTTCCGCAAATGTCCGCTAAAGATTAATCGCTGGCGTTGACGATTTGAATTTACGGTCGACTGCAAATAATTGATTCTGGGCTGGACAAAATAGTGATGACAATATCCTTGCCGTTACTATACGATGACACAAAATGAGCTGATGCACTCATGTTAGCACTTAATTCACATTGCAATAGGCAGAAATTGTGCCTACCAAGACAGCGAGCCTGACCACCCGTTAGTCGCCTCTTACGACAAGCATGGGTTGCTGAAGACCAATTCTAACCCGGATCTTCTGGGGTATAACCAGGTTAGAAGTGATAATTATCATTGTTTTAGGACACTTTTGACAACCTTCCAGCGGTTTTTGATGTTGAATAACTAACTTAATATTGAATCAAGTTTCGATCCATGTCGGTAGTGTCGAGAACGTAATGCAGCGGCACACAATCAACATTAATCTCACATTAGAAATATCAACACATTCACTTGAAGCAAAAACATAAAACTTTTATTAACTTGAACATAGAACTACAGTTCAAGCAATATTACAGCCTGGCACATTTCCTACTACACACTGATCTTACAGAGACAACACACAGTGTGTCGAAGTTTGCTTTCCGGCAAAACAGGTCACATTACAACGTAATCACGTTAGATGTTATATTGCGTTGGCTTCCCATATACCAAAACTATATACAGTCAAACGCCGTATATGTCGAACTATGACCACAATTTGTTAGTGAAAATGGGCTTTGGAGCACGTTTTCTCATCGTTATTTCCCAAGGAATCAGATTAACGTTCATTGTGTCAACGCGGAGCCTGAGTGGACCAGACCTTGGAAATGTGTCTCTGACCGATAAGGATATCTCCCCATTAACGAAAACCTGAAAAAACACATTGGAAATACAGTTTATTAGTAGCCTGG